AGTACAGGTCCATTTACCATAAAGGCAATGGCAGCGTCTCCAGGGTGGAGATTTTAAGATTAACAGATGCCCCGGTCGAATTCTCTGAAAAGAAGAAACTCTTCAAAACAACCTATAGTACTCAACACCACAATGAAATGAAATGCCAGCTAGAAGATTCCTGTGCTTCCTGGCCTGTTGACACCAGCAGTTTTCGAATGAAAGATAAAATGCAGTAAAGTGCCACAGATCCTGTTGTTAATACAGTAATATTATGTAAAATAAAACGTTTTTATTTGGACAGAACAGACTGAACACAGTGACACAAATTGCAGCAGGAGGTTTCAAACAATTCACGGGGACAATTAGTGAACCTCAAATGTCTTAAAACCTAATCTGAAATTCCTAATCCTTTGGGAAATATACTTACGCCCTTTCTTTCCAAAAGTTTAGAAAGATTAAAGCTAGCAGGTGGTTAGCTCAGCTTAGCATAACATAAAGACTGGAAGAAATGAGAAACAGCTAGCCTGTTTACTGTGAAAATATCTTAATAATTTACTAATATATAAGTGGATGTTGTGGCGAGACTGTTTCAATCTTAACTTTTAAAAGTCCACTGTGTAACATATATAGCAAGATCTATTGGCAGAAATACTCATCGGTAATTGGACTGCACTTATACAGCCCAAGGACACTTGCATAGGGAGGAGCTGGGGATCAAACCGTCAACCATCTGATTAATGGACGACTTGCTCTACCTCCTGAAATACATTTATTTGCTTTCCTACCGTGAGTCAAATGAGAAGATCAACAGCAGTGAAGACAACACTTATTGCCCCAGGTCAAGATATGGTGACAAAACTTTCTAAAAAATCCCAACTTATTATTTTTACTCATTTGTTCAAATTAAGCAATTAGGATATATTGTGTTGGATATACCCCTTTTTCAGCTACCAGTTCTTTACGTTTTGACAACAGAACTGGCTCACATCAATGTTACGGATGTAACAGCTAGCTAGCTGCCTAGGTCAGCTAACATTACCTAAGCAAGCATAGCTACCAACTTCTTAATGTTTCGTTTATAACGTCAATGTTACCTTTGTATGTCCGTAACTTTAATGTTACGATCGATGTTAGTAATATTGATTTGAGAAACCAGTAGCTATGCTTGCTTGGGTAAACAGCTAGCTAGCTAGCATAACCTTGGTACCAATAGCTAATGTTGAAGACATATACAGTGAGACAATAACATGGCTCTATGGTGGCTGTCTAGTCTGTGGAAAACCAGTTCTTCAGTTGAACCAACTCTGAATCAGCACTAGGTTCAGGTTTTAGAGAGCTTTAGAGGTGCTAGTGGTTTCCCCATATAGTGTTTTCTGCTAAGCTAAGCTAATCGCTTTTTGGCTTTATGTCTGTACATAACGCACAGACATAAAACTGGTATTGATGTTTACATCTCACTCTCAGAAAGAGGTCAATAACCAGTGCCTGAATTGGGCCAAAAGCGTGCCAGTACCAAAAAGTGCCAGGAGTAATTCAGCACAACCCTAACCTTAAACACAACATAACCCTAACCTTAGTTTTGTATATGGTTGGTTCAATCCCGGGCTTCTCCCGCATGTCGAAGTATCCTTAAGCAAGATACTGAACCCCCAACTGTGTCATCAGTGTGTGAATGTGCATGAATGTGTTTAATGACTCGATGGGCTTTGCCATCACTGAGTGAATGTGTGTGAAAGGGTGAGTGTGGCATGTAGTGTAAAAGCGCTTTGAGTGGACGGAAGACTAGAAAGGCGCTATACAAGTACAGGTCCATCCACCATTTACCATATACTGAACATGGTAGGGGGGTTTGGGGGGAATGCATCACAGTTGTTATTTTTACATTTGATTGTATACTCCTTGGAAAAAAAACTGAGATCTAGACCTTGTCGACCTCAATGGTGGGTATGGCCATGCTCACCAGAGGTAGCAAGTAAAAATCAGAAGTGTCGTTACTCAGTATTGGTGAGTACCAGCCCATTTCAGGCACTGTGAATAATCATATTGCCCACAATGTTGAACTAGTGAGGACTGGAAAATGTGCTGTGGGGACATCTGTTCCTGAAAACTATTAAAATCCACATATACACTCAAACAAAACACTAAATCCTCACATGGCTCGTCTGGTGTTGTCTGTACTTCGCTCTGACTTGAACTCTTTGGAATGTAGAACACGATGGTGCCTCTCCCTCCCTACATCAGTTTACGCTCTTGTAGCGCTATGAAGGAGCCGGGCCTCTGTGCCGACACAGCACATCGCATCAGACACGCCTTATTGACCTCCATCCACACCTCCCCTCCTCTCTCGCCACAGTCTGCCACCCTCCCCCTTCCATTCATCTTAATTACTGATCTTTTCTCACTCCTTATCATTTCATTTCGATAGTCGTCTCTCCTTTACCTCTTCCTGTGTTCCATTCCACTCCCTCCCCTCTCTGTCAGTCTGTCTATCTGATATTAAGCAGGTGATTGATCAGAGGCGTAAATCAGACGCATTAATGTGATAGGATTAGCAGGAGAGGCTGCTGACAGCCCTACAGTGACTTTCCCTTGACTGGATTAACCCTGGCTGCTTAAATACTTAGAACAACCTTCTAGCCCAGCAGAATTGCTCTTGCATGTTGTTTTAAGTGTGTTCAGAGGCACTTCAATTTAAGAACTACATTAAAATGGCAAAAAACAAAAACACTGTGACCATGTTTATCTGTTCGCCACATTTATAGCTCCTTGGGTTAAGCAACAGAAGCTAAAAAAGCCTACCTTTGACTCATACCTATGTCTCTCTCTTTAGATTGAAGGAAAAAGAAGTTAGAGCATCTAAAAAGGTTGCAAGACCTGCAGGGTCTGCCAAGCAGAGATACTGACAGGGATTCAATGGTGCCAGCATTAACAGCAGTCCCGAATGTTTGTCAAGTGGCCTTCTGCAACCCGCCTGAGAGGTACACCAGACATTGGGGCCTAAGTTGTGCGTGTGTTTTGACTCACCATGAAATGCGGCTGGGTCAGTATCCGTCTGAGTTCTTTAGCTTCGTGGTTCTCTGGGTAGCAGGAGATTTCTTCCAGAACCTGAAGACGCAGAGAAAAAGTTTTTTAAGCCACAGTAGTTCTTTGCACCCAAATTGCACCCTCCTGCACCTCGGACGATGTATGGAGAGCGACCAGACAACCTCACAGCCCCCCCTCAAACTCTCCCTGACACCGCCCCCTACATCTCCGCAGCCAATGTAAGACCAACTCTGGACACCACTCAGCGAGTGGAGGAACCTGGTCAAGGCTCTGCCCCTCCTCCTGCCCTTTTGACATAACTTGATTTGATGTCAGCTCCAGTTATGTTGCGCCTGACTGGTGAATGTGGGGGCCTCTGAGGGGGTGTGCGTACTACTGAAACCTGCATTATGGAGTTATGAAGCACTTTCGTCTTTAAGTATGCTTACACTTACTGACATATCAAAAGCATATGTTACAATCTCAAGCTTGTAGTGCTGACAAGACAATGTCCATTTTATTCTCAAGAATCCATAATTCCAGTGTGCATCTCCCTGCCTTCCATACATGATGGTACAGAATTGAAATCGTCCAATCTAACCTGGGAATTTGGCTTGACGGAAGTCTAACCTCTGAACAACATGTGGAGCAGCTGGCAATGAAACGAATGAAGCATGTTTGTGTCAGGACAGGAGGACGACTGTAGAGTCGACCATCATATCTGTGCTCAGCTTTGGAGATATCCTTTATTCTCACACTGCTCGCTCAAACTTAAAACAACTTGATGCAGTTTTTCACTGTGCTTGGCAAAAGCTGCTTCAGTATATCACCACTGCTCACCAGAGCAGATCTGCTCTTGTTTCTCCTCCTTCTACTTCTTGGCACCTTATAAATGTAATGATTCATGAATTACAGAGGACTTTGAGAAATTAATGTCCCATTTCACTGGCCCATTTTGAACTTTCCACTTTGAATCCATTCAGTGACGTCAGCTATTGTCTATGATGCTGTATGTCCTTTCGTTTGTTAGTTACTCAGGTCTCCTTTGCAAAAGAGATATTGATCTCAATGAGACTACCTAATTTAATAGTTTATATATTATAGGGATGATAAGATTTACCACATCCACAACAATTTAGGACCAGTGTGTAGGATTTAGTGGCATCTAGTGGTATAGTTGCAGATACAAACTCACTCGCTTCAAACTCTTCCAAGGGCAGGGGAGAAACTACGGTATCCATGAAATGCACGAAAATCAATAACAGCCCCATCTAGAGCCAGTGTTTGGTTTGTCCCTTCTTGATTATTGTAGAAACATGGTGGTCCAACATGGCAGACTTTTACAAAGATTTTACACTAATGAACTGGACCTTTAAAAAGCTGCATTGGATACAATTTGGGATTAACTTAGGATGCATCATCATCATCATTTCTAACATCTGCACTGGTTAAAATCTATCTACATATCATTATTAGTATAGGCCGTATGCCTTCATTATTTAGGAATGTGACCAATAATTTAATATTTAGGTTGATTCTTGAAGTCTTAACTTGCTTAAAAAGAACCAAGGAAATAAAATCTATCTGTACCATATTAAACTGCATTGCACCATATTCTTTTGCATCACATTGTATCACGTGTTGAATCAATTGTGTCACATGGCACTGAATCGCAGTAGGAAGTAGTATTGCATTGTTATTTGCTTCATGTGTCTTTAACATATGGGATTGTTGAAAATGCATGAAGATGCAGCCTTAGTGATGGAGATGCACCTCCGTACAATACACTAGTAGCTGATACACACACAATAGGTCTAATGAATCTTCCTGTTCAAATGTTCAAATGAAGGTGATTGTTCAGTATGGTATGGTGGTAGGCAAGTAGCACAGGACAAAGCAGCTCGTATTTTTTTACACAAAATATCAATGTTACTAAATCTACAGAGATACTCTATAGAAACGTCCTGCTCTTTTTAGATACCATTATTTTATAAGGCAGTGATCTGAGGGTTTTTATTGCACCCATGTACAACTGGAAAAGTAAATTATTGAACAATAATAGCAAGGAATTCATTGCCAGATTTTTTGACTGCAGAAAATAGTAAAACGCGCTTTAATGAAATGTTAACACTGTTTAATAATGGAATAGCTAAATATAGTGCTTATTCCTAAATACGGATATAAGAAAAAAAATACAAAAAATAAAAGCTTACATGCAAAGATTTGTGGCAGTGGTTCGATTGTGTTGTTTAAAACCCCATCCGCTAGATAGCGGTGTTGTAATTTTTCTACAGCCAATTTAACGCTCAGATTGCACAAAAAGTAGTGCAATGATGTTACGAAGGACTGTGATTAACATAAATGCAGATCCCACTGTTCTGACATACAATGTGAACTTTTCTTTACACAGATTGTATACATATGATGGCGAATTCTTTATACTATAACAGTTCTCCTAAAATAATTTGATAAAAATGGCACTATATCGTCTTGTATTGTATTGCAATATACTGAAATCATAATCATATCCTGATACGAATCATATCACCAGATTCTTGCCAATACACAGCCCTACCTAAATATATCATAGTGAGGGTCAGAGCTATCCATCCTGCTTGTATTTGTGGTTAGCAGATGTTTTTTTGCTATATTGATCATTTCAGTTCTCCAAAAGGTGAATTATGTAGAACAACTGTATCTATTATACTACACGGGTCTATGGGTTTTATTTTGTCCCGGTGTTGGTCCTTTGTATTTGTAGTGTTTGTGTTTATTGTGTGTATATATGAAATAAATTTAGACCCCAAGAAGTTTGCTTATCTAAACAACAACAAAACAAACAAATGTTCTGTTCTGTTGAGAACCAGTAGATTTTCAAAATACAGCTCCACAGCAGTGACCTTGATGGATATTATCTTGATATTCACTCGCCCTCAGTCCACTCCAATTCTGCCTTAAGCTCTACTCATTAGTATTGTGAACATGGCAGTGGTGTGTTGAGGTCTTGAGGCTTACATATTCCAGATGTTTCAAAGCGCCACTTGCTTCATCTTGGGAGGAACTCTTAAGTGGAGGAAGACACAGGAAGAAGTGTTATACAAGCTGTCGACTATCCTTTTTGGAGAGCTCACAGGTGACAGTTTTAAGGTCAGTGATGACAAAGGTCAGGTGGAAGTGAAACTCCAGCCCTGCCTTTAATCAATGCCAGCCAACGGGCTGTGAATTAGGACAGTTTGTTGGATTAGCATCTACAGCCAAAGCAGGTAACCTCTCTCCCAAGATTAGTTCCAACACTGACAGAATTTATTCAGCAAAAAAGTATATTAGTGCAGTCAGAACAAAGCTTTGTGGAAGTTTGAAGCACCTTATCACTGGGCCAGAAACCCACAACAGTCCAGTACAGATAGAGGTAAAGCAGAGGAGGAGGAGGGGTAGTTCAGGTTCAGGGAGAGTTCATTTAAGGTGAAACTGTGCTGAAGCAGCCCTTGACCAGTATTCCTCAAGTAGCTCTGAATTACCCTTGTTTAAAGTTGGACTCACAATAACAAAATTAGTTGGTTAATGGTCAAACACAGGAAGTACCAAAGTAGCTACATAGTAAACGATTAACTTGCTTTTCTTTTTGATTCTAGGATTAAAAATACCTAAACCTACTTAAACTACTTATGAAACACTCATCAGCAAAAATCATCAATGACTTCTTTTAGTGTTTCAAATTAATAATGTGGAGTATTCAAAATATTCATAAAACTGGTTATTCTAGATTATTTGACATTGGTACAAACCAGCATGAGGTCAATCCACATTCCTATGTAGGATACATATAGTCTACTACTATTGGCCTGTATCACTATAATCTGTGAAAAAATCAGCTTCCCCTAGCTTCTCCTAGTGTTCCTGATGGAATACACTGGGCCTGGACAAAAACAATCAATCATAGACAAGAAACCAGGAGAAGCACTAGGAGGAGCCAGAGGAACCAGATTTTTTCACAGATTATCTGTCTCACGTACTACTGTCAGGATATAGTTAAAGTTTCAGTGAATATGTCAAAAAAATATTTTTATAAAAGTGACACTTCTGCAGCTTTAACACAACTATTTCAAATAAACAATATACTCATTTTTCTGTAGAGTGGACGTCACTTTCCATATGGAAAGCCATCCAGGTCAAAGAGTTTTAATCCAATCATTATCTTTGAAGAAACTTCTTAATTAGTTTAATTAACACCAAACTTTCTATATTCCCACATCTCCCAAAATGCTTGTTCATTTGTTGAATCATTTGCCTTCTGCTGGGAACTCCTGAGAGGAGAAGAATAACCTGAGCTCTCCTTAATCCTGATATGATTACTTTCCTACATGAAAAAAGCTGACAAACCCTTTCATTCCTGCATTTGAAACAGGACCAAACATGCATCATTGCTTGAATTTCAGACTGGCCAGGACAAACTTTCTACTCTGAGATGCTTAAAAAATACAGTGAGGCCCCTGTCTGGTTATAAGCAGAGTGTAGTGTGTTTCTAATGCGGAGGTGTCTTAAGGCTTGGCACGCCATACAGTCAGCCAGAAAACTAATAATCCACACACAAGATAAAAAGATTCTGCAACTACAGGATTTAAACGCTGTTTCACTCCCACACAGACAGCATTGCATCTGTTGTGGCTCCATCCACAATTCTTGATCCATCTAAACTGCTTTAAGCAGGAAAATGTGAACCCGACTCTATAAGCAGACTTCTCGGACACAGTGTACCAGAGCTGTGTTAATTAGCCAGGTCTCTCTGACATCAAACCAAAGCCACATAAAACAGCTGCGCAGCTGCCCTAAATGGCTTTCCCTGTCTTAACAGTGCTGGGATTTAAGACGCCTGCCCTCACCCACTCCCTCACCGTTCAGACTTTCTAATTGCTCCCTCAACAAAGCACACAAGACAAACATGGTGCGGCTGCCTGCATGCACAAGGGCATGCAGATACACTCACAATGCACACCACTGATCCAAGTTTCCCTTCACACACTCCCTCTTCTTTCACAGTCCTTGTTAAGCACCCGCTCCAGTCTGCATCCTGCTACAGTACACTGAGAGGTAAACACATAAACTAACAGAGTGTATATGAATTCATCATAGCCAGGGTCAGACTCTGGAGACCATAATGCAACTCTCTGTAATAAAGCAAAACCACGCTATTAGAGCACAAATACAGTATTGGGGTGTGTCCGCTACATCCAGCAGGATCTCTAATGAGGAAGGTCAAACACATCAGCCAGAGATCTTTATTAAAACAGCTCTGTGTGAACAGGCCTGTGGGCTGTGGTGTCAGCTGCTCTGACAATGGGCCAGAGTCACAGAGAGTTGGATCATCAGCAAATAATCCTCAAGAGGTCACTGAAGTTTGAGAGGAAGCTCACAGAGGACTCAATAAGTAACCATACATAATTAAATAATTCAATCTCTCTTGAGTCAATATCATTTCTGTGCAGCGGTAAACCAAACTGAGCAGCACAGCGCCTCGAAGCAAGAAGGTCTTTGTTGTTGTTCTGCCTGTGTTTGTGAGGGCTTCCTCCAGGTGCTCTAGTTTCACTCCAAAGCCATCAAAGTACTTGCATTTTATTTGAGTATTTTCCTTTTCAAGCCACTTTAACGTCAGTACATTTCAGAGGGAAATATTAGAAATTATTAATTAAATAACTAAAATAAAAGATTTGTAGGGTCCAGCTTGAATTGAGTTCTTTTACTTTTGATACGCTGTAAATACTTTTATAAGGAGTACAGTCTAGACCTGCTCTATTTTAAAAGTGTTGCCTATTCTTGCATATGCTCCACCCACCACCCCATAATACCAAGCAGATCTGCTGAGAAGGTGCTCGGCTGCAATCTGCCATCCCTCCAGGACCTGTACGTCTCTAGGACCCTGAGGCGTGCAGGCAAGATTGTGGCTG